GATGGAGGGGAGAGAGGAGAAGCAGAAGCCATTGGCGTTGGATTTTGGAGATGGAAGCGCTCTTGGCTTGTGGATTGGATTTTGATGGGGTTGCGAGTGTAAGTAAACTCCTAGTGAGGGGATAAGAGGAGAGTCGGCCAGAGGATAAGATGTGGGCCCATGAAAATCTGACGTAGGAGGAGTTCGGCCCATGGGCTGGATAATGGTTCCTGCAAGGCTACAGGCCACCATAAAATCTCAGATACGTTTATTTTTCTCAACGTCAAGTATTATATTATTATTATCACATATATCTGTCATATTTAATGTTTTTGTTTTGCTCGTCCTTTTAACTTTTTTTTCCCTCCTTTTTTTTCCGCTCACACTAAGAGCATCTCCAACAGTTTCCCCAAAAATTTCTCCAAAATGGAGAAGCAAAAGACATATTTTCTAAATTATTTTTGCTCCAACTCTAACAGTTTCCCTATTTTAAAGAATCCTGCATTTATTACAATAATAAAAATATTCCTACATCCCTATTTTGGGATGCTCTTATGCATTGGAATTGCCCCAATGTTTTTTTTTTGTAATTACAGATTTTGTTTTATATTTATTTTCTCCTCCATCTTGTTTTGAAGAACGTGTTGCATTTATGATAAAGCATTCCCCAAATATTTGAAGAATGCCACAGATTTGGGGAAGACTCCCCTTTTTTTCTCATCCATCCCTATTTTGGGGAATGAGATGGGGAATCTGTTGGACCAAAAAAAAAACCAAAAATTCTCCAAAAGTGAGAATACCAATAAAATGGGGAAGCTGTTGGAGATGCTCTAAAGTATACTCATCTGATATCGTATTTTTTTAAAACGCTGTGAACCAGGTTATTTTAGAAAGGCTTAATTGCACTTAAATACCCTATAGCTTTGCCCTTACGTACCTTACTTATTTTTTGCCACACCTATGTACCCTAAAGTTCTTAAAACTACATTTATATACCCTCACTACCCTAAAGTTTAACAACTTGCACTTAAGCACCCTAAGGTTTTTATAAATTACACTTAAAAATCCTTAAGTTTTTATAAATTGTACTTAAATAACTTAAAAATTTTAAAACTTGCACTTAAATGCCCTCATTTATGTAAACTTGAGGATATTTAAATACAATTTTTAAAGACTTTAGGATTTTTAAGTGTCTGTTTTAAAAAAATTTAAGATTTTTAAGTGCGAGTTTTAAAAACTTTAGAATATTTAAGTGTTGTTAATAAAAGTGAAGATATACGAGTGAGTTTTAAAAACTTTAGAGAGCCAAACATAATTGAGGTTATGTAAGTGCAACATGGGAAAATTATAGTGTTTTACGTGCAATATTTCAGCATTTTGGAAATGTAACAATGTTGGAGACTATGAATTTATCTAGAAATTTTACGATGATTTTATAAAGGGAAAATTGCTTGGAGGAAGCAAAATAAGTTGGGCCAATCATCCCCACCCCCAGCCCAACAACCATAACCCATAAGCCCTAAAATTAAAAGATATATGCAACCAACCCCCAAACCCATTGCCTAAGAAAACAACTTCCCAAATTACCCTTCTTCTTCCCAATTAAAACTCAATCCATTTCCTCCCCTCCCCTCCTCCTCCCTCCTCATTCGCACCCTCCTCCTCCACGACGCCCTCCTCGGCTCAGTCCGCCTCCTCCCCTCCCCTCCCCTCCCCTCCTCCGTCGCTAAGGTGGCGATCCACGAAGCCCTGCTTACTTCCGGGTTCAGGACGACGAGCCCAGACGAAGCTGATTTCTTCTTTGTTCCCGTTTACGTCTCCTGCAACTTCTCTACCGTTAACGGGTTCCCTTCTTTGGCCCACGCTCGCCCTTTAATCGCCTCTTCGATTGCTGAAATCAAAACCAAGTATCCGTTTTGGAACCGGACCAACGGCCGAGACCACATGTTTGTGGCCTCCCTTGATTACGGCGCTTGCTTTCATGCAATGGTGTGCGGTGCTTTTATGATTTCACATGAAAATTTTGAAATTTTTAGAGCGAGAGTTTGTGAAGTTTGGATTTTTTTTGGTTTTGTTTTGTTTTTGAATGCAGGAGGACGTGGCTATCGCCGACGAAATTCCTGAGTTTTTGCGGCGATCGATTCTGATGCAGACGTTCGGGGTGACCTCGCCGCACGTGTGCCAGGAAGCGGAGCACGTGCTGATACCGCCGTACATACCGCCGGGGATTCTCCGATCTCCGCCTCCGGAGACGGCGAGGAGGGACATTTTCGTCTTTTTCCGGGGGAAGATGGAGGTTCATCCCAAAAACATCAGCGGACGTTTCTGCAGCAAGTAATTAAAGAGTCGATCCTTAATTAATGAACTAGTCCATGTAAATTTTCATAAAAGCCCTTCCTAATTTAAGCAGGGCTTCGTGGCTCGTCGTACCTGTGTATCTTCCCAAATTACTCTATTTGATGGGTTGAAATCATTTGGGGGATGATTTTGGTATAATAATAGCTCAATTCTGTGTGAATTTTGGTGCCCATATGTGATATTTTAGTATGATGTGTGACTTATGCTGCATTTAGTCACATTTTGGTATTTTGTGTGACTTTTGTGGTTGTTACGTGACATTTTAGTATTCTGTGTGACTCTTGGGGCCCATATGTGACATTTCAGTATTCTGTGTGACTTTTGGGGCTGTTATGTGATATTTTTACATTCTCTGTGTTATATTCTTGTTACCAGTTACATATCCTGCTATTAAGTGTTATGTTATATTTCTACAGGTATGATTATGGCATACATGCGTATTTTTTTATCAAGGCGATCCTCGAGGGAAGGGAGATAATAAACGTTGAAGCCTTGCACATGGAGTCGCATATGCTACGAGTAGGACTTGCTGCTCAACTCATATGTGAAGGGCGTGAATGGAAAAAAAAAAACCGCGGTTTGAAATTAGACAGTGATGATGCATAATATTTTTTGTACTTTGGGGGTAGTGATGTACCTATGATTGAGTGGAAGTATTAGACTCTACATGTAACTGTAATATTTGTTTAAACGCTATGATGTAAAGGATAACTAGTTTACTAGTTGTGTGTGACATTTGTTGGATTGTTGTGTGAGCTATATGTGAAGATATATGACCATTAGTATGATGTGTAACGTGTAACAGACAACACATAACTATTTTGGTATGTACCATTGATTGAGTGGAAGTATTAGACAAACACATAACTATTTCATTTGTTGGATGTTGGATGTTTACTAGCTGTTTGTAAATGATAAAATGTGCATTTGTAATTTCTTGGTGATCTTTTTTCTTTAGCATATTAAATGGAATCTAAAAGTAAAGTTCTTACAGGTATCACTGTTAATACTAACAAGTCACACGAACATGTAATATGTCACATTTAAGTAGAAAATATCACAACAAAAGTGAAAATGTAACATGTAATAGACAACAGTCACAAAAGAGTTTGAATTCTGTCAGGAAACGTTAATCATACTAAAACATCACAAATGAAATAATTATGTGTTTGTCTAATACTTCCACTCAATCAATGGTACATACCAAAATGCAACATAATCGGAGCAAAAGTCACACATCATACTAAAAGATCACATAACAGCCTCAAAAGTCACACAGAACACCAAAATGTCACATACAAGAAGCAAAAGTCACACACCATACTAAAAACGTCACATAAAACCCCAGACGTTACACATCATACTAATGGTCACATATCTTCACATATAGCTCACACAACAATCCAACAAATGTCACACACAACTAGTAAACTAGTTATCCTTTACATCATAGGGTTTAAACAATTGTTACAGTTACATGTAGAGTCTAATACTTCCACTCAATCATAGGTACATCACTACCCCCAAAGTACAAAAAATATTCTGGATCATCACTGTCTAATTTCAAACCGTAGTTTTTTTTCCATTCACGCCCTTCACATATGAGTTGAGCAGCAAGTCCTACTCGTAGCATATGCGACTCCATGTGCAAGGCTTCAACGTTTATTATCTCCCTTCCCTCGAGGATCGCCTTGATGAAAAAATACGCATGTATGCCATAATCATACCTGTAGAAATATAACATAACACTTAATAGCAGGATATGTAACTGGTAACAAGAATATAACACAGAGAATGTAAAAATATCACATAACAACCCCAAAAGTCACACAGAATATTGAAATGTCACATATGCACCCCAAGAGTCACACAGAATACTAAAATGTCACGTAACAACCACAAAAGTCACCCAAGAGTCACACAGAATACTAAAATGTCACGTAACAACCACAAAAGTCACACAAAATACCAAAATGTGACTAAATGCAGCATAAGTCACACATCATACTAAAATATCACATATGGGCACCAAAATTCACACAGAATTGAGCTATTATTATACCAAAATCAATATCACATATGGGCACCAAAATTCACACAGAATTGAGCTATTATTATACCAAAATCATCCCCCAAATTATTTCAACCCATCAAATAGAGTAATTTGGGAAGATACACAGGTACGACGAGCCACGAAGCCCTGCTTAAATTAGGAAGGGCTTTTATGAAAATTTACATGGACTAGTTCATTAATTAAGGATCGACTCTTTAATTACTTGCTGCAGAAACGTCCGCTGATGTTTTTGGGATGAACCTCCATCTTCCCCCGGAAAAAGACGAAAATGTCCCTCCTCGCCGTCTCCGGAGGCGGAGATCGGAGAATCCCCGGCGGTATGTACGGCGGTATCAGCACGTGCTCCGCTTCCTGGCACACGTGCGGCGAGGTCACCCCGAACGTCTGCAGCAGAATCGATCGCCGCAAAAACTCAGGAATCCCGTCGGCGATAGCCACGTCCTCCTGCATTCAAAAACAAAACAAAACCAAAAAAATCCAAACTTCACAAACTCTCGCTCTAAAAATTTCAAAATTTTCATGTAAAATCATAAAAGCACCGCACACCATTGCATGAAAGCAAGCGCCGTAATCATGGGAGGCCACAAACATGTGGTCTCGGCCGTTGGTCCGGTTCCAAAACGGATACTTGGTTTTGATTTCAGCAATCGAAGAGGCGATTAAAGGGCGAGCGTGGGCCAAAGAAGGGAACCCGTTAACGGTAGAGAAGTTGAGGAGGGTGTCGTGGAGGAGGAGGGTGCGAATGAGGAGGGAGGAGGAGGGGAGGGGAGGAAATGGATTGAGTTTTAATTGGGAAGAAGAAGGGTAATTTGGGAAGTTGTTTTCTTGGGCAGTGGGTTTGGGGGTTGGTTGCATATATCTTTTAATTTTAGGGCTTATGAGTTATGGTTGTTGGGCTGGGGGTGTGGATGATTGGCCCAACTTATTTTGCTTCCTCCAAGCAATTTTCCCTTTATAAAATCATCGTAAAATTTCTAGATAAATTCATTGCTTGCGGGAAAAAACAGATTCATTGCAACTTAGGCGTTTGTTCTGAAATTATGACATACTCGAGTTGAAATGAACTAGCTACTCAACATTCCCATCATTACTTGTATTTTAAGACGCACAGTTTCCTAAAAAAAAAGAATTCCAATTAACATTTGCAACTAATTCGTTGTTAGCAAAAGTGAGTGTATATATATACTATCGCATTTCTTTTGCAACTAATTCCTTGCTAGAAAAAATTATTTAGTATATGATAATTATTTTAATAAATTATGAATAATTTATAATAATTATCTAATTTGTAATATATAATTAAGCATACATTTCTCTATACATAATTTTATCATATAATTTATTCATTTAAACAAAATTGTAATTGTTCGTAATTTATATTACCATGCAAATCATTTCATTATTTTACAGCCAATAATAAAAATTTAAAAAACATAAAACAAAATAAGTATGCTCTCGTGGTGCACTACTAGTGCTAATAAGTTTAAGAAAAGTCCAAAATGTAGTTAAGAATTTTATTAAGATTACTACCGGAACGAAATTACCCTATGACTATCGGGTTATATTGGGAAGGGGCCAGCAACATTTGTCTTTGCTATTTGTGTAAGTCGGGGCATATTCATTTTAGGCCTGTTAAATTGAAGCCCATTGTCTTTATTATTAGACTAAAGACTCTGCAGCAAAAGTCCATCATGAGATCCATCAGCAATTTGGGCCCGATCCGGCCAATTATGCTTTACCACGGGGACAGTAGAGATTTTATCGTGACGGGTAAATGATATGCTAGCGCGTGTATTGCAATATGCTTTTCTCCCTTCAATTTATTAGCCAGAAGATATTAGTTAACGGTGAATTTTCACGATTCATAACTATTTTTTGTGTTTGAGTATAAGATTAATTGGATCACTGGTTACCGCATTTATTTCATAATTGGACGTCGATACTTGTATTTTTAACTACTTGGATATATGATCGATCGTGTAATTAAATACTAATTGGATAATTAACTACTTAGAATATATTCTACCAATTAATATAATGGATTGCCGCTGACATGACATGATATATTATTGGCCACTTGCAATGACTGTTTTTTTTCCTAAATACAATATTTTGATCACTAATGAATATAAACTTTCATGACATGACAGGCAACTTGTATTGAGTAATTATATTGCATTTAACATTTCCTTATTGAAAAACATAACTCGTGACGCATTGAATATATTGTATTGCTTAAAAATAAATTAAAAATATACAACTCGAATTGACGGAAAAAAAAACGTTACGAATAATTAACAATCCAATTAACAATATTAATAACATGATTAGTTACCAAGAAATCTATAAATACCAATTTATGAGCAAGGGATGAACGGAAACCCGACTATGAAAGTAACATCAAATGACAAACTATAAGCGGACATGCTCAACGCGATGAAATGGCTGCTTTTCATGGCTTGCTGAAAATAGTTCGCTGAAAACAATGTTTAGATACACGATCAACAAGCAGGAATGTGGACATTACGGAGATGGTAGGAAAGCAACAATAAGGGAATCGCTACATCTCTCTCACTTCTCCCACGCTTTGATGCCTCTTCTCCTGATAAATGACACGTATATCGTTAGTTCAATTAAACTCTTCCAGTGCAAATGTCACAATTTAAGCGCTATGTTCCAACTTCGAATCCTATGCCCTTGTCACGTCAGCGATATTTAACGGCAGTGGCGGACCCACCCTTGTTGAAAGTGGTTCACTTGAACCACCTCATACAAAAGTTCTCTATAACCTAGTGGTATTGCAGTTGGTAACATTTTGTAAGAGGTCTGGAGTTCAAACCATCCAGCCTTCGAAAATTTCTCTTTTAGGCTTCTTTCCTTTTACCTCTCCTCTATTCTTCTTCTTCTTCTTCTTCTTCTTCTTCTTCTTCTTTTCCTTTCATTTTATCCATTTGTTCTGTCTACCTCTTTAAGGCCTTCTATAAATATTTTTGTTTCTTATATATATAAGTCAAATCATTGTTTAAAAATGATTGTTTTTCTCTTTAATAACCCTTCCTTCATTTTTTTCCCACCTGCTATTATTTGAGAAAAAAATTTAGTGTATATTTTGAACCACCACAAAAAATGTTGTAGATCCGCCACTGTTTAACGAGCATTTGTAGAGAGAATTTAGACTGATGACACAGGTAACATCAGGAACCCCTGCTAGTGATGACTTGCAAACATGGGTGCTAAACCGTATCCGTAAACGTATCCGTTAGGATACGAATATGGCTACTCAAATCTATAACCGATAGGGTATGGTTACGGATATGATTTTGTAGTGAGATATCCGTATCCGTATCCGAAATATCTGAATATATATTAATCATACTCTTACGATAGTTTCGATTCTTAAATTATGGATGTATGGTTAATTTTGATGATCAAGATGTCTAATCTTAACTTTTCAGTCATAATGAACATATTAATGAACTCTTTGTATCACATGAACTATGTTTTTCTCAATGATGTCTAGTTTTCTTGTATATGTTTTGTATCCGTTTATATATCTGCATGTATATTCGTAACCGTATCCGATTTTAGCGGATATGATTATAAATTTCTCTTACAGATGTATATCCGTATCTGTATCCGTACCTGAGATGAGTAAGCTGATATGGATATGGTAAGCATCATATCCGAACCGTATCCGGACCGAATGCACCCATACTTGCAAAACTTAAAGACCCAAATGATATTTGGCCGATGTATCAAATTTCATCTGAACCCTAGCACCAACACTCCTGACATTAACATACTGCTCGTAAGTGCAGCTCCTGAATGAGCGAGCCATTTCATATGATGGTCCAAAAATTGGCATCACCGAGCGTCATCATAAATTGCCATCGCAATATTTATTGAACTGCCACTCATCTTATCTGTATCCAACTAAGTTCAATCACTATCTAAACCCTAATTGCAAGGTTCTTTTTCCTCGATCTCCATCAGAAGCCCACATGCTACTGCAGGCTGCCGCAGTTTTGAGGAGATTCACAAGACGTCATGAATAGTTATAATGTAACCTAACAAAGGCAAATTACTAAAGCACCCATTTAAGTATCTTATCCTTCTTCGTGGAAATATATTCTAGCTACCCCCCCCCCCCCCCCCCCGCAATAATAATATAAGTTGCACCGACTAATATTTGAGCTCGGATAATCAAATCACCAACAATATTTCTTCAATCAATTCGAGAACACTAGACAGCCAACAGTGAAGCGATTGCCAATATCCGATAATCTTCAAGCGATTGAATCAAAGCCTAAAGATCTCACTACATCATGACTAGTCTAAAGATCTCACTGCATCATCATATCTACGTTATAATTTGCAAGCTTACTTAAAAGCATAATACCGTCCTTTTGAGGTACGAGGCTTGTAAGATAGTCACAATCATCTTGCATATATAGTTGTAGCTTCTAAATTTATTTTTGTAACACATACACGCGCTCATGAACTTTCAAGAGATAGAATAGTGATGTTCACACATTTTGATGTGGCTAACAAGATGTGTCTCACCACATGTTTATATATATTGATAGCTTATTTAGCAAACGAGCAGTCATCTTATATATATATTATTTCATACATATATGTGTTGGGATCCCTCCTCAATTGGGAAGATTCTAAAAAATTCTAAAAATTTCTAGAGAACGCTAGAGAAGTGTAAAATTCTCTAGAAGCGTGTGGAATGCTCTAGAATATTCTAGAGATCTGGAACATTCTGGAAGAGTATGAAATAGAATGGATGAGTGTAGAAATTTCTAAAAAGTAAAGATATGTGTGGAGAATTCTAAAGAGCTAATCTCCACATTTGGCTCAAATTAATCCTCATCACTCATTATGAAGGTGGAATAATATAAATAGGGGTGGAAGCATTCATTCCTATCTATCCAAGTTAATAAAACAACCCACTTCCTAGAGTGAGAGAAAACCTCTAATATTATAGAGAGTTAGAGAGCATCTTTGAGAGAGAAATGAAATAGCTTAAGAGCCCTAATCCTCAAGCTCGAGTGAGCCACCGAAGTGAGACAGTTTTGTAAAATATAAATTCTTGTAATCCTACTATTTTTTTGTGTAGTAGAAGAACCTCCATACCGGAGGACTATAAACTATTGTGCTCCTATTACTATCTTAATTTTTTAAGTGTCTATCGATCTTAACTTCACGAGGCGGAAAGATTTGAGTTTTCCCAACAATATGTGTGTGTGCAATTTCGCATATCTCGATCTTTCTTCCGTATTGAGATCTAACGGATCATTAGCAGGGTTCCCGCATTAACAAGTTTGTAGGCACGATTTGCAATATTGTAATTTAAAGGGTCTTTGCCTGGTAAAATCACTGCACGTCAGAGGACTATTTGAGTAGCCCAATTGCTTGTCTGGGCTCCGCCCACATGCAGTCCATTCCGACGGAAACATCAGCAGCGGACGCCTGCCATCAAAAGGACACGTACCCATTTTCTATTGCCCAAAAGTATTTGTTTCTCCCAGTGGGCGTCGGTGGGGCCCACAAGTCAGTGAACCACCGTATCTAGCTTTGTTTTCGCAAAGTCTGAAACTTTGCATTGAAACAGCACGCAGGAGATGATGCCGGTCACGTGATCTCTGGATAACGATAATTACTCAAGTCCTTCGCTCTCTGGTCTCTGCTTAGGGCCTGTTTGTTTCAGGCTTTTATAGAATAGGATTAGGAATTGGGTTCTGACAGTGGCATTTTCGTAAATTATGGATTCTTTGTGAATCCTATTCTGGAGTTTGGTTCAGCAAAATTTTTTGGGATTACATCTTCTACACAGTAGCTACAGTTGTCCTTTTTTGTAGAAACCCAAATCCGAGCATTTGCTTCCGATTTGGGCGAGATTTCTGACACTTGAGCTTCCTCGTCGATTCCGATTCCTGGCTTCACGCTTTCGATCCCTAGATCTGGAATCGCTCTGCCGCTCCCGCCTCAATCGCCCTCTTCCTCGCGCCTCTGCTCCCGCGCTTCTTCGTCTACGATGATACTTGGGGTCGGGCCTCTTTCTCGAAACCCTAGCTCTTGATTTCCACGAGATTGTTGCTGGTTTTCTTGCCTTCGATTCTTGGTGATCCCTTCTGGTTGGGATCTTCTTCAACTTGGGTTGGGATCTTCTTGATTTCCACGAGCTTGAACGTCGGCATTTTCCCCTCTGCAGTAAGGTATAAAAATTTCCTCCTTTTACTTTGTCCATTTTTTCCAGTGATTTGAAAAATTTAATTTAATTTTGAAGCATATGAGAAATAGAGGCACACACAGCAATTTCAATGATTTGTTCGATTAATTTCATAATATTACAGCAAAATAATTCATGCGGGTCTCTGTGTAGTGGATTTTTTGTAAATTTGCAAGAATTAGGTTGTTAGGTACATTAATTTCATGCGGATATCCGATTTGGGCGAGATTAATTTCATAATATGTTTCAAATCAGTATTTTAAGAACTTAAATTGCTGTTTTTTTAACTTTATTTAATTTTTTTGTGTGCGTGTAAATTATTAGTGATCTAACCATATAGTTTGTTTGTTTTGGGTCTATCTTGTTTGTTTAGAATTGTGTGAGATGGAATGCAACATTAGTTAAAATAATTTATTATTGCAATTAGATTTCTTGCTTTAAAAGAAATAAATATTTGTATCAATTATCTACTTAATTTTTACAAGAAATAAGTAGCCATCTTAAGCTGTAACTGTATGATAATATTAAAACGGTTGTAGATGGATATGGAAGATGAGGAAGAATTGAAGAGGATGTGTGCTAATACAGCTGTCTGCGCCGTGGTCACTTTGGTAACATGTATTTTGAGAATGCGTGCTAAGCGCAAGAGAATACCAAAATGTTCGCCGCAAGAAAGGGTCAGGAAAATAAGTTGTAGAGAGGCTCATTTCAGACGTGTATTGGAGGGTTATCAAGATAGCTGCCAATCTTATATTAGAATGAGACCGAGGGCATTTTTTAAACTTGTTGAAGTAATGAAAGCAAACGGTTTATTAAAAGATACGAGACACGTTCAAGTTGAAGAACAACTTGCTATGTTCTTGAGTATTATTGGGCACAAAACTAAAAATAGAATAATAAGAACTGAGTTCATAAGATCAGGGGAAACAGTGAGCAGGTATTTCAATAAAGTCTTGTCTGCAATGAATGGATTACGTGATCGGTACATGAAGCAAGCCCCAAAAGAAGTTCCCGAGGAGATTGCAAACAACTCAAATTATTTTCCGTACTTTAAGGTAAATTAAATACATACAACTTAATAATTTTCCAAAGAAACTTTTTTTTATTTAACTATGTATAATTTATAATTTTTTATAGGACTGCATTGGTTTGATAGATGGCACACACGTCGACGCGGTGTTACCCAGTGACCTAGTTGCACGGTTTAGAGGGCGAAAAGGGGTCACCCAAAACATCTTAGCAGCCTGCACCCCCAATAAACTATTTACTTATGTCTTGGCTGGCTGGGAGGGGGCAGCAAATGATTATAGGGTATTACAAGACGCCCTGTCTAGGCCACAGCCTTACGGTCTCCGAGTTTACGATGGTATTCATTCTCACTTGTGCATATTATGAATAATATATTAAATACTTGGCAATATTTGAGATTTTAAAATACTGTTTAATTAATGTAGGTAAATATTACCTATGTGACGCTGGATACACCACAATGCCAGGTTTCATATCCCCGTATCGCGGTGTCCGATATCATTTAAAAGAGCACACCGGTAGGACACCAAAGAATAGGAAGGAGTTGTTCAATTTAAGGCATTCATCTTTAAGATCAAAAATTGAGTGCACATTTGGGATACTGAAGAATCGGTTTAAAATTCTTGCGGGGAAGCCGAATTATCCATTTCCCACTCAAGTGGACATTGTACTAGCGTGTACTGTGTTGCACAACTTTATTGCCTTGGAGGATCCGGATGATGATATTTTAAATGAAAATGTTGAAATTGATGAAGATACTGGGGAAGAGACAAATGAGGACGAATCAAATGTGATGGACTATACTCAAAGTAGGACACAAAGAGAGGATCAAGATGTAAGAAATGAATGAAAGGAGATGCGAGATCAAATTGCTTGGGCGATGTGGGTGGATTATTGTGCAAAGTACAATGGTGGTAACACAATGGAGAGCGGTTTAACTTAGTGTAGTATTTGTCCTATGGCTATGTAATAACTTGGTGAATTTTAAAATACTGTTCGCATCGATATTGTTTATTGTTTTTTTGCTTGTACCAAAACATTACTACTTTTATCGGTTGCTCTTTTCTTACAAAATATATTAGGTATGGCTAACAATCCGGCAGATAAGCAAAGCGTGCCTTCTCATTCGAATGCAATGCCAAGTCCTACATCAGGGATTAACATGAACTACATGCCTGTTCGACCACAGCCATTCACCTCACCTCCGCATACTTTCTCACCATTCCCACCATGGGATGGTAATTATGGTGGGATGACACAGCCGCCAATGTCATACATGAGCATGTTAGGCAGTCCACAAGGTTTGATGTTTCCCACAGCCAGTTCTCAAAGTAGTGGACCTAATCAATTTTCACCAAACACCGGTGATTCAGTTGGAAAGGATATTCATGACGTTGATGGTGCGGAGCACACTTCGCCATTGAAAAGAGGGAAAAGATTAGCACACAAAAAAAAAGTTCCGTGTACCAGGTTGAACTCAAGAGGCGTGGCTAATAAGTTTTGGCTTCCAGAGCACGATGATGTGCTTATTCCTTATCTTGCAGATTTAGCATTGGATGGCATGAAGCCAGACAAGAACTTCAAGGCTGAAGCTTATAAAATGGCTGCCATGAAAATCAACATGCAATTCAGGACTGATTTCACTCACCTGCATGTCATTAACCACTTGAAATGTTTGCGGAACAAATTCAATGACATGAAAGCTTGCCTTGATATAAGTGGTGCTGGGTGGGATGAAACAAGTAAAATGATTACATTGGATGAGGAAACCTTGAAATCTTGGGCCCAGGTATAACAATTCAGCATCTATCTTGTCACATTCAATTTAATACATTTGATTCTCTGGATTTATAAGTATTTATTATTGCAGGACAAATCCAATTCTAAGTACAAAGCATACATAAACAAACCCCTTCCTCACTTCAAAAATTTACAAGTTATCATGGGTGATGATCAAGCCAAGGGTGATTTTGTTAGACCCGTGTACGCTAACATTGGGTCTAGTAGGTCCATACCTATTCCCGATGATGATTGCGAGATTCTAGAGGAGAGTGAAGCTGAACCACAGTCTGATGCTTGCAACGCACCACGTTCTGGTGCTGTTAACCAACCACAACCCACTAGATATAAGACTAAGAGTAAAGACAACACGACTTCATCATCTAGCAAAAAAACCAGAAAATTTAATCGTGAAGAGGAAATGATGTGTGCCTTTGTTGAGTCCATGTCTCAGTCAATGAGGAATCAACACGTTATACACTGGACTGAGCAGTTGGCCACAGCGTTGAATGAACATAGGTCTGAATATTCCGAGGAGTTCCTCGATAGGGTTTTAGACCATTTATATGACAATGAACGTGAAGGTAGGAGGTTTTTCATTAAATCTAAGGAAGGTCAACAGAGGTACATCACAAAATTAGTTAACGACCAAGGTTGGGCGGATAGCTAGTTACTTGGGTTTCGATTATATTACGTTCTGGATATTGTTGTGTTTATTGCAAACTATTAATGTTGCAATTTGTATTTTCATTCTGAAGAACATCTATGTCGGTGTGGGATTGATGAATTGGTATATTTGCAATCTTTGTTGCAGGTAAGGTCGTGGAATGATCATTGATTTCTTTGAATTTTCCGATTATATTTTGATATCAGGTAAGCTTTCTGCAGCTCATGCTGATGCTGCAGTTTGGGTGAGCTCATGTTTTGAGCTTTCTGCAACTCATGCTGCTGCTGGTTGCTAGTTTGTGCCTGTTTTGAGCTTTCTGCAGCAGTTGCTGCTGCTGGTTGCTTTGTGCAGCAGTTGCTGCTGCTGGTTGCTTTGTGCAGCAGTTGCTGCTGCTGGTTGCTTTGTGCAGCAGTTGCTGCTGCTGGTTGCTTTGTGCAGCAGTTGCTGCTGCTGGTTGCTTTGTGCAGCAGTTGCTGCTGCTGGTTGCTTTGTGCAGCAGTTGCTGCTGCTGGTTGCTTTGTGCAGCAGTTGCTGCTGCTGGTTGCTTTGTGCAGCATTTGCTGCTGCTGCTGGTTTTCCTTGCCTTTGCTGCTACTGTTGGGTTTGTTGCTTTTTTCTTCTGAGCTTGTGTAGCTCTTGACCCCTGGGTTTGTTTATGTTTTGTTCAGAGCTTGTGTAGCTCTTGACCCTTGGTTTGTTTCTGTTTTGTTCAGAGCTTGTTTAGCTCCTTGCTGGGTGGGTTTGTGCCTGTTTTGTGCTGAGCTTGTTTGTCTCCTGTGACTTGGGTTTGTTGCTGTTTTTGACATAGGTTGTTTACCTCCTTGCTGTTGGGTTTGTTGCTTTTTTCTTCTGAGCTTGTGTAGCTCTTGACCCCTGGGTTTGTTTATGTTTTGTTCAGAGCTTGTGTAGCTCTTGACCCTTGGTTTGAATAAGTTTTGTTCAGAGCTTGTGTAGCTCCTTGCTGGGTGGGTTTGTGCCTGTTTTGTGCTGAGCTTGTTTGTCTCCTGTGACTTGGGTTTGTTGCTGTTTTTGACAGAGGTTGTTTACCTCCTTTGCTGTTGGGTTTGTTGCTTTTTTCTTTTGAGCTTGTGTAGCTCTTGACCCCTGGGTTGTTGCTGTTTTCGTTGTAGGTTGTCTACCTCCTTGCTGCTGGGTTTGTTGTTTTTTGGTTCTGAGCTTGTGTAGCTCTTGACCCCTGGGTTTGTTTCTGTTTTGTTCAGAGCTTGTGTAGATCCTGTAATGGGGGTTGCTGCTTTGTGGGAGCTGTTTTGGTTTTCCTTGCCTGTGGATTAATTTGCGGTTTGGTTTTCAGCTTGTGTAGCTCCTTGCACTTGATATTTGGCAATGATGATGATCAGCGTTTACTGAGAATGCAATCTAACTTACATTGTTTATTATATCCAGATGAGGCAAAAGGGGATGACATTGCAGCCTACATTGAATTGACAATGTCTAGGCGAGGCAATTCATCCTTATAATGCAATCTGTAATAAACATGTAAGTTATAGGTGGGGCAATCAATGATGACAAGTTGATCTATTACTGAGCCATACAATATCAATTAGAATTTGTACCCAAGTCAAACAACAGTTTTTATTACATCCTCAATAGTTTTTGCAATTACAAGTACATGACATGAAGTTTGTAATAATTAAAATAACACAAAAAATTGCTAAGAAAATTGCCGAAATTTTCCAAGCTAGTAGTTGATTTTCGACAAGTCTCAATTCTTTCTTCAGCTTCTTTGATTGCAAGATATATTTATCTCCGTACCTATTTTCTTTGACATATTGGCTTCCTTGGGTGCTTGATGACTCTCCTCTTTCTTCAGCCCATTCGAAAAAATTGCATTCTTTATTTGGGAATTTTGCACACCCCCAATAACACCTACCCTTATTTTTTCCATTCTTGCACACTTTCATCGGTGTTTGGAGATTGCAGTCGCAATAAACTTCATAATTAGCATGGCACCCTTCTGATATCATCCTGCAGCAAATTGAAGAGCTTGGGAATTTTTCTTGGGTTGAAAAATGAGAAAGATGGGATTATATGTGAGGCCTCAAGGTGTATTTATAGACACCATACCCCTTGTAGTAGCCGTTGCTACAGTGATTACTATAAACAACCGTTGCTACAGTGCTTGATGCTTGCAATTTCTGATTCCTGGGCTTATTACCGTTGCTACAGTGTTTATAAGGCTGGAAATAAGCAATTGGGGGCTTAAATAGCCGTTGCTACAGTGGTTGATGCTTGAAAATCTGTTTTTTGGGGGTTATTTCCGTTGCTACAGTGACGATCCCAAAAAAATTTGCCTCATTGAACCAAACTTGGTATTAGGAATTGGAACAATTCTATAAAAGTGGGATTACTAATCCTTTGGGTGAAACAAACATTAAAAGCCAAAAAAAGTGGGATTCCATAAATCTCAAACTTGTCTATAAAATTTTTATGGATTAGGTTGGAATCCATAAATTAAATAGGATTCCTAATCCTATTCCTAGTCCATGGTGAACCAAACAGGCCCTTAAAATACGAAGGTTAGGAATAATGTCAGAATCCTTTTGATTTCGGCTTTTTTTTTTATGAGGTGCAGGATTAGGGTTTGAAGCCTCTGCTCTGCTTTAGAGCAGCTCCAATCGTCCAAAGTAGAGGGGGACTTTGGTCCAACTGAGCGGCAATTTTTGCAACTGAGCTGCAAAAATGAAATTGAGGCTGTAAATTTGGAGATTTTTCTCCAAATTTGCAACCAACTCTATATTATTATTCCCCCAAAAAAAAGTCAATCTTACCCCTCAATCTCTTTAACAACATTGGATTATTCCAATTGTGTCTCATTATTTTTTTTACTTACTTAAAATCTATGTATATATATATATATATATTAATATATTAATTTTTTTAATGAAAATAATATCATTAGAAATGTCTCGTCGATACCTTCAAAAAGAGACTAATATCGAAGTATAAAATTACAAAAGAAGTAATTAGAAATGATAATACATTAAAAATTAAACGGAAATAAAATACATTAACTTAGAATTTCGAGGAACTTTAATAAAAAAAAGTTACATCACTTCATTGCCATGTCTCTCCCACAAATGTTCAATTAATGCATTTTCGAAGTGCGAAGTGTGCTTCTTTGTCTTTGAATTTCTTATGTCGGGTCAGGAATTGTCAGAACCGTTCGACATCATTCATCCCTATGTCTTCAACATTTGAAATTGATGGTGGAGTAGAAACGACAATATCTTCTTGCTCATCATGTTTATCCTCAATAATCATGTTGTGCATTATTATAACTAGGGGTTCCTCATCTGATATTATTAATCCTGAATACAGCTACGCAGGAAGTCAATACGGAATACCTGACTACAGAGGAGGTGGACACGGAGGAGTTGACTTTCCAGACTTTTAGTATTTTTCATGTATTATGTTTTTCCTATTTGTCATGTAATTTTCAATTCATGTTTTTGCTTTCTATGTAATAGTCGTGGGTTTAGTAATATGAATGTCTGTTTAATTTAATCCGAATGCCTATTTTATATTAATACATTTAATAATATTATTACTAATATTATTTATATTATATAACTTTTATTTTTTTTATTTTTATATATTCAAAATGAGAGTAATATTAAATAATATTAATTGAAATATAAAATTCCAAGAATTAAAGAAAATTAATTCTATTTCTTATTATCAATTCATTAAAGAAAATTAATTTTATTTAAATATATGATCACATTATATATTTTTAAAAAAAGAAAAAGAATTAAAAAATTGAGAGAAATTGAAATGGAGTTGGAAATAGAGAAGTGTGGTTGGAGTTACATAACTCTATTTTAGCATATTCTAAGGAATATGCCAAAGTTTGGGATGCAAAATAGAGCCCCACGTTGGAGCTGCTCTAATGATCTCATATTTGAAAGCCTTTCTTGATTTTGAACTATTATCGAATAACTCTCCACAACTTTTAAAATATCCAAATAATCCCCTTAAATGTAAGGGTTAATTAAAAAAATCCTTTTAACTTTAAGAGTTTAAAATCCATATAAACAACATTAATCGTAAATTCCACATGAATGAGTAAAATTAGAATAGGAAGTTATTTTCTGCCAATGAAAATTGTCGTTCACGCTTGTAGGGAGGGCGATTTCTAAAAGTTTACAAAGTTAATAGGAATTTTTTTTGTCAAGATAACCACAGATGCCTTGATGACTGATGGAGTCTAGTTAGCCAATAAGTGAACACTAGTGGAAGATCCTACGATTAGGGCTGAGCATGGTTCGGTCCAAACCGAAAAAACCGATCGAACCGACCCGAACCGACCCGGAAAAATCGGTTTTATGAGTAGGGCGGGTCGGGGCGGGTTGAAAATTTTTCAACCCGAACCGACCCGAACCGACCGAATATAGTGCAATACTACCCATTCTGATCTCAAACCCTACTCGACCCGTCCCTAAAGAGTCAAAGACTCAAACCCTAAACTCATTTTCTGAATCATTATGGGTTGAAAACAATATCATTATATCAGTGTTTAATGCTTCATAATCTCCTACTTTGTTGATATCTTTTTTTTCTTTAACATAGTTTGTTGTTTGATAAGAAATTTGATGAAGTTAGAACCGAACAAACCGAACCGAACCGTACCGAACCGACTTGCAACATTTCGGTTCGGTTTTGAATTATAGGCGGTTCGGTTTGGTTGTTCAAATTTTGGTAAAAACCGAACCGAACCGACCGTTGCACACCCCTACCTACGATTGTGTGATAATTGTATGTTAAATGCATGGTTGATAGCTCAGAACAAGTAATGAACATCAGATAAGATAAGGATAATCTAAAAGCTTAGCTTTTGTATTATAAAATTATAATTGGTTCTTAAACTCTATTTGAGACCCATTAACTTTAGATTGAGCTTGCTTACTCCCCAACGGTTTGTACTCATTGCACTGATATAAGATTGATAGTAGAACGCTTTGTTGTATTCTGCTTCTCTTTAATCACAACATTTGCTAGAAGTAGCATAATCTTGGTACACCTAGTTCCTGAAAATTCAGGGTTTGCAAATGTGCATAAGCAAGAAAGCAATCTAATATTTATAAATGAATTTACATAGGTTAGTTATTGGTGGGGGATATAATCATATAGATAGACTAAATCACGCGAAATATTTGATATCTTTATTCCAGACCAGAAGTTGGCCCATCACAATGCTATCCATATAAAAAGTATAATAATGGAATCCTACCGAAGTACTCTCTTGCTCTCCGCTTTGTTTGTTAAGAAATGTATCCAACATTAGTTAGTTATGACATCTCATTTTTTTCATTGCTTCGCAAATGTGGGTCATGAAAGCCTAAATTTGACATATCCTTTAAAAAAAACCTCCCATACAGACTTTTCTTTTGAATTTATATAAAGGAAATGAGAGTTATTATACCGCTGATAGACAATAGTGATATATTCGTCTAGATTCACGATACACGAATGTTATACTATCTTCTTCAGTTATACAATATTTCATAGAGCTACTTAAATATGAGTTTCCCTTGTTTGTGGATCATTGGTTTTAATCCTCTCGTTCTCTCATGGTAGCAAAATAGCAAAAATGGCATCGAGCAAACTGGCATGTTTTGTGAGACCGTAAGCATTTTTTTTTCCCGGATACTCATGATTGTCGCGCATAAAAAAATGTTTTTGTGCTTCGTTTAGACGTAATCCTGTAGAGATCAGGGGATGTATGAGAAGCGGGTTTTAAATTGATATTTTACAAATCCGCTTTAATATCCAATGTGTGTGTATATATATATATATATGATAAATTATATTTGAATTTAATGATATTTAGTGCACTAGAAAAAGTATTTACATAACACGATTTCCCTGAAAATAGTAAATTATAAACACGCACTAATCAAATTAATGTTTATAACAACAAACTTATAAAAGCGTATAATTTATGAATCAGCGCATGCGCTCGTATCATCCGGCGTATCCTTTTTTATTTCACAAGGGAATCTCAGCCCTCCATCTAAGGATTATACAATCCCGGATCCAACGTCTCACTTCTCTCCACGTGATGACAAACCAATGATAAAAAGTAAAGAAATATCTCACGAGTATCTTTCCTCCGATACGCTGCAGAGAACACCGTAGCTACGCCGGTATTTCGTATTTGCTCGCCGAATCCCCTGATGGATACACTGGGGCCCAGCCCATTGCCCCGCAAAATCTCGGCACGTGCGTTGTGCGCGGGCGAATCCACCCAGCTGACGTGGCATAAAAAAAATCCCTCTTTATATATCACGAACGGCCACCTGGCCCACTCCCCGACTCCCTCGCTTGTTAGTATCGCGAAATACCCCAAACAAACTTAATATTTGCAGAGCAGACCCAGATTTAACGCAATTAACGACTGTATTCGCCCTTTCCGCCATTTTGCTTTGCAATAAACCCACCGCTGAATCATGCAATAAAACCCTAAAGTTTCCTTGCAAGGACAAAATCTCCGTCCTGGATCAATCTCATCCGTCCACTTGTCGAGCCAACGGCTGAGATCGCTCCATTGCTGTGCTTATCATCGTTCGCTCGCTGTCTCGGTCACTCTCCTCCCTTTTCTCCTCTCTTTACTCAGCACTCACTTTTCAAGCTCCCTAATGGCGGAATCGATCGTCGATCGTCGATTTTGGTGGGGGCAGTCATGAAAAGATTGCTCCTTTCTTGATTTTGGGCTAATTTTAGTGTGAGCTGTCGGTTTGGGGAGTGATCGGTTGTTGAGCTTCAGAATTAGGGCTTTTTCGGTTAGCTTTTAGGGTGTTGCTTCCATTTTTCGGATGGTAACTGATCGAGGTTCGATCAAATTGTTATCTGAAATGGGGGTGAGAAGCGAAGGGTTTAGTGGCGAGGACTTGGGGCTTCTTCTCCGAGAGCAGAGGAGGCAGGAATCGATCGATCGAGATCGAGAGCGAGAGCTTGACATGTATAGGAGCGGTTCCTGTCCTCCGACTGTCGAGGGATCCCTAAACGCAATCGAGGGGGTCGATGATGGACATGGGTTCTTGAACGAAGAGGAGCTTCGATCTGATCCGGCTTATCTTTCGTATTATTACTCGAATGTGAACTTAAACCCTAGATTGCCGCCTCCGGTGATGTCGAAGGAGGATTGGAGGTTTGCTCAGAGGGTTCAGGCAGTTGGGAGTTCAAAAGTTGGAGGGATTGGAGATAGGAGGAAAGCTACTAACAATAGTGGTAACAATAGAGCAGATAATGGAGAGGGGAGTAGATCGCTGTTTTCGATGCAGCCGGGGTTTAATCCGAAGAAAGAGGAGAATGATACACGATGGTTGGATAAGGACGGCGATGGGTTGATTGGGTTGTCGCTTTGCAAAGATTTGATCTTTTGAGTAATGGTTATTGATCTCTAAATTCTACTTCCAACTTTAATCTCTACGACTCCACTGAGTGTGATTTTGTGGTATAGTTTGTTATGTTGCAGTTGTTGGTAAACTGGTTCCGGTGGAGCTGTGGATAATACCCAAACCCATTTGTTATACTGTTGTTTACGAGGAAAAAAATTTCATCTTCCCCCCTCACATTTGGTTTCTGGATTGTAGAACTCACTACTATATAAATCGTAACGTTGAGCATGAAAAAGCTGTTGCATAACAAGTGGGTTTGAAAAATGAAGTTTTGTTCCTCATAATAACGTGCCATAACAAGCGGGTTTGAATATTATGGTGCAAAGATTTGATCTTTCAATTTTTAGGTTATTGATCTTAGTTGGTGTTTTACTGCGTAGGGTTCTACTATTTCCTAATTTTGTTTTACAGCATTAGTTAGCGAACTGTTTCTAATGGAAGTATTTTGAATCACATCGTGCCTGCAAACGCCCTTTATAAATTGTTTCATGTTGCTAGGAGTTTAATGATGCTGCAAAAATTTACTTTGAGCTTAATCTTGCTGAACTATGAGTACTCGTATACATGTTTGTGCTGCTGCAATTGTTGGTGAACTGTTTTTTGTAGAGTTGGATAATACTCAAACCCACTTGTTATGATTTGTTGTTATGAGAAACATGGTGGTGATGTCCGAATTCCATTTTTCCACATTTGGTTTCTTGATTATTGAACTCACTATTATATACATCCTTATTAAGTATGGAAAAGCTGGTGCGTATTGCTGCTTTTCATTGTTTTTTTGTTTCTTGGTTTATCTGGTGACATGGCTATTCCTGTATGTGCCTTTCCAGTGTGTTTAAAAAATCTTTTCTACCAGTTAATTGGTTATTTACAGCTACGGGGTCTCATGGGAGATTTCTACCGGTGCTTCTTTTAGTTTACAATTAGCAAGAAGTATACAATGGTGTGCTGTCAATCTTTTATCATTTCGACCACGAGTTTTTCCAGATAGTAGGTACTAATTGGGTCCTTTTTTGAACAATTTCTGAAGTTTCTTGTTCTCAATGTTCTATTCGTTCGTTTATTTGTTTGGTTTTGTTGACGATAGTCGCTTTCTGGTATAAACGATATGGAACTTGTGTGTGGTTTTATTTGCTATGTAGCAATATGGAACTTGAACTGTCTTAGCTTATAACATCTGTTATGTAGCAATAACAACTGTTATGCTTGTACACACGTTATATGAGCTATAGGATCTTGTGGCTGCTATTGGAGATCACAGTCATTGAAGGCTATCATTGCCATGTTTTATAAAGAATTATTTCAAGCAACATATTCGGAGTTCATATGAAGGCGGTGTCTTAGTTAGTTGTTGTTAAGTGAAAGGCAGTATCAATAGTTTTAATTCAGAATATATTTTGAATTATTGTCTAAATCATACCATCAGTCATTGCATGACTTGCTTCCTTTTCTTGTATTTTTATCAGCATTTTTTCGCCAACCAGTCAATATGATTAGCAGTTTCTTTATCTTCTATGCTCAGATACTCTTAACTTTTGTTGCTATTTCTAATCCATAATGTTACAATGAATACTCTAGTCAACTCCCTTTTTTGGTAGTAGTAATTGCTATAAGTTTTTCTTCCTTTCCTTTTCCCATTTGATCCATGTCTCTATCTGATATTAAAAGTTAATTTCATTAACATTCTCCCTTCTTCTAAATAATTAGATCGAAGAGCATGTCTTCCTTTGTATTCTTCTTCAATATCTTCCCATTTGTGTCTATTTTTAATCGAATATGATACCCAAATGCCTTTCTTTGTATGCTGGGTTCTGATTGCATCTTCTGTTGTGCACTTAGGTAGCTTATTAATATGTGCATGATTGCCATGACCAGAACATAATATAGCATAGGCAAAGGCATAAATAATATTTTGATGAAAGAAACTTGTTCTATTATGTGTCGTGTGACATCAAGTTATCTAATACAACAGGCCAGATTGTAACCAATATTCTGAGAAACGGCACTTGTTATGTTATGTATCAGATGATATACCAAATGATCTCACAAGAATACAAGATAGGAGGAATATTTCTTCTCGGGACTTGGCGATTCCTTTTGATCTTGTTAGTCTTGTGCACAATGATACCCATGTTAAGTTGGATAGATGTTCCGATTAAGTTGCAAAGTACTGCAGTTGTTCTTCTTCAGATGAAGTTAAACATGAAGCTTATGATTTACTCGAACCCTATTATTTTCTTAAAATCTCTATTTGGCAATCTTGCAAGCTTAGTTTAAGATTCTTACAAAATAAGTACTTAAAACAAGGAGATCCTGGCAGTTTTTGAAATAGGTATATTAGACAGTTGACCTCTAATTTGTTGCGTCTGGATAGTGCCTTTGTTTATTCGCACATGTCATATGTATTCTTCATCAGCTTGAGCCAACATTGACATATTCATGTTGCAAGAATTGGGTGGCCTTGATTGGTAGGATTCCTGAATCAATTTTTTTGAGAAGCTCAAAAACTTTCATGGCGCTTCCCATATTTCTTTCTTTAGTTTAGCTAAACACAACAATATTTCATAATGCGGAGATGAATGTTGATGAATTCTTAACTTGATTTATTTCTGCATGCATATTGTGTATCGGGGTTGCATACGTAATAAGAGTTTTTACTACATTGAGTAGAGGCACTTGCAGAATATTTTTTCTTACTTCCATTTTAAATTTCTAGTTTCCAACTTCCACTTCCTTTACACTGGTCCCTTTTTATTACTTCCCTTAATACGATAACAGTGGGTACACAATCTATTCCTTTTCCTGTTAATTTGTGCAGGAATGTTCTAAGATACTGGACATATTCATAAGTTCGTGTCATTTTTTTTGTTCTTTTTAACAAACTTTTTTTAATGAAGCTTCACTGGTTATGAGTATTACTATTCTCCTTTGTGAATAATTCTTGAAATATGGCTTCTTTCAGGATGACCAGGATCACTCGCACCCCATTGTGGGTCATCCATCTCGTCCCTCAAGCCGCAATACATTTGACAATGGTGCTTTACATAATGAGAATGGATTTGTTGATAGCCTTCGTCCTGGTAGCAATACTGTATCTGCATCTCAAACGTTTGCATCCGTTTTGGGCTCATCTCTTTCAAGAAGTAACACTCCTGATCCACAGCTAGTGGCAAGGGCTCCTAGTCCTTGTCTTCCTCCTGTGGGTGTGAGGGTTAACAAAAGTGACAAGCAAAAAAATAATGGTTCCATCTCCTTCAACAGGACTTCGTCAGGTATAGTGGAATCAGATGATCTGGTAGCTGCTTTGTCAGGAATGAGCTTGTCAAATGTTGGACCCATAGATGAAGACATTATTGCTCAATCAAAGCTCCAAAAGGAAATGGAAGAACACCAGAATTTTCTCTTTGGAGTTCAAGGTGGCCAAAACCATGTTAAGCTCTCGAGGGCTTCTGAAAAATCACTTGGAAATATGCTAGGTAATCCTCAATTAATGAGGAATTCTGGAGGGCTAAGGGATCCAGGCAATTCAACTGTGAGGCTGAATTCTGCATCATTTGTTGGCAGTCCAGGTGGCTCCCCTGCTCATTGTCAAAATATTAATAGTGTAGGTGCAGATTTTTCAGGCTATGGACTGAATGGATATTCAATGGATCCAGCATCACCTTCAATGATGGGAAATCATATTGGAATGGGCACCTTTCCTCTTTTTGAAAATGTTGCAGCTGCATCCCCTACAGCATCTCCTGGTATGGACTCTTGGGCACTGGGAGGGTTTTCTTTGGGACAAAATTTGAACGGACCAGCCGAGCTACAAAATCTCAACAAAATGGGGATGGCAGCTGCAGCGCTTCAGATGCCCCTTTCCGATCCATTATATGCTCAATATCTTGCTGGCAATTTCAGTGATCCTATAACAGGCAATTCATACCTAGATTTACTGGCAATCCAGAAACAGTACCTTGGAGCATTGTTTCAACCTCAAAAACAGTATGGCATGCCCTTTTTGGGTAAATCTGGTGGTCTGAATCATGGTTATTATGGAAATCATGGTTATTATGGAAGTCCTGTGGCGAGTCCTGGTCTTCCTGCTTCCCCTGGTGGACCTGGTAGTCCTCTTAGGCTTGGTGAGCGGAATATGCGCTTTCCTTCTGGCATGAGAAACTTAGCAGGGGGCATCATGGGTTCTTGGCATTCAGATGCTGGGGGCAATATGAGTGACGGCTTTGCAGCCTCGCTTCTGGAAGAATTCAAGAGCAACAAGACGAAAAGTTATGAGCTCTCTGATATTTCAGGCCATGTTGTTGACTTCAGGTACAAATGAATGAAAGATGCAGGCATTAGCATCTCAATGCTTTTATTTTTGAGCTCACTTTTTTTTTAATGACTGTTGCTATTACCTTTAATTCATATTGTCTCATAGATGTGTTAAGGGTTGATGTTTCAATATTGTTTTCTGTTTTTAACTCATCTTATTCCCACTCGAAGTCCTTACGACTGCCCCTCGTAAATTCTGATGTTGACTTTTGTCTATCTACCTGAGCATACATACACATACCGATGACGTATGTTACATGCATAACATATTAAGGACTGATGTTTGTATAATGTGTTGGAGTTTGATGGGGGTAAAACGACGAGAGGAAGTTTAAGCATACAGATAATATAATAGTCACAATCTTGGATTTTATTAGCTGGCATTTGTATAATGATCACAATATAGCGCTGCATAAAATTATTTTGCCTGATTTTAGGAAGTACTTCTTTGACCAATGCCCATGAGAGTTATGCCAAAAACTTTATAGGCGCAGCCTGAATCCTGTGCATATGCTTGCAGATATTATATTTTGCTATGTTGTATAGTTAAGATTGTTTTGTGTGTATAATTTCCAGTGCCGACCATGAGAGTTATGCCAAAAACTTCTTGTCCTTTTGTTACTATTTCAGTAAATCTTAGCACAACCTGAATCCTGTGCATATGCTTGCAGATATTATATTTTGCTATGTTGTATAGTTAAGATTGTTTTGTGTGTATAATTTCCAGTGCCGACCAGTATGGAAGCCGATTCATACAGCAAAAGCTTGAAACTGCCACGACCGAAGAAAAAAACATGGTTTACGATGAAATTAAAGCTCATGCATTTTCCTTGATGACAGATGTATTTGGGAATTATGTGATTCAAAAGGTATCGTGGTTCTATCTTGCAATGGGATATCAAGATTTGCTTGCTATAATTTTTGAGTGTTATTCATTTCCGAAAACTGATTGCTTGTATTCGTTTAGTTTTTTGAGCATGGATCTGCTGCTCAGAGAAGAGAATTGGCTGATCAGCTTAATGGACATGTATTGACACTCAGCCTTCAAATGTATGGCTGTCGAGTGATCCAGAAGGTAATTGTTTCCCAATAATATGATACATTTTAATTTACTGACTATGAGAACAATTTGAGTCCATCTATGTTTTTGGTTATAGCTATTAGGCATTAGCTATATGCGTCATGCATTTCCTTTCTTATCTAAAGTATGGAAATTTTTCGGAAAGGAATGTACATTAAATGATAGGAGATTTTTGGCTTTTGAGGAAGGCCCATTAGAGAGGAAAATGAGAGGTGAGAGGGAAGAGAGGGTGGTAATGCTAAAAATTATGTGGATCTAAGGGTTTAATTGTTTTGAAGATAAGAGGATTGATTGGTTGGGATGATGGCTTTATATGAGATCATGGATGGATTAGAGAAAGGGAAATGCATGTAGATGAGAGGGGAGAATGCTAGAGGGTGAGAAAGTGAGGGAAATTTCTTTGCAGAAATTTGCAAGTTTTCTGCAGGTTTAATATCTAATTCATTATTCCCTTGAACACTTGGGTGGAAGGCTTCACAATTTTATTTAGGTGCTCCAGTGTCATACATCGTTCGAAAGTGATTTCTTCTGCTCAGAAAATTTTTATGAACTATTTCAGAGTTTTTTATTTTCTGTCCTCATTTACTCTTTTTTTACTGTGATTTAACAGTTCCTTTTTGTTGCCTTAATGCCACAAGCAGGAGAATGTATCTCACTAGCCAACTAATTCAGTCAATAAAACCTCTGAGAAGCAATATTCATCTTGTCATTACTGCAACACTCAGCGTCCTTTCTTTGGGTCAATGAATTATATGATCTTTGCGTCATTGAATTATATGATGTGCTCTATCATCCTCATAACCATATTTTACTATACTGCTATATTCCATTTTCCCTCCTTTTCCCTCTCTAAAATTCCATTCTCCAACTTATTTTTTGCTTGAGTGATACTGGTATAATTTATATCCGTCATTTTTCTTTGGCATTGTATTAGCTTTTGCAGTAATACATGTGATCGTTGATGGTGCAGGCGATAGAAGTTGTTGATTTGGATCAGCAGACTAAAATGGTTGCAGAGCTTGATGGTCATATAATGCGCTGTGTTCGTGATCAAAATGGGAATCATGTTATTCAGAAATGCATTGAGTGTATCCCGCAGGATGCAATTCAATTTATTGTCTCATCCTTCTATGATCAAGTTGTGACACTATCTACCCATCCATATGGTTGTCGTGTCATACAGGTTTGAATCATTTAGTAAATGAACTTTTCTTCAGGCATATATGTATCCTAATGTGAATTTAATTGACTCTGTAAATATCTGATCAATACAGAGAGTATTGGAGCATTGTGATGACCCTAAAACTCAGCAGATCATGATGGATGAGATTTTGCGGAGTGTCTGCATGCTGGCACAAGACCAGTATGGAAACTATGTTGTTCAGGTTTGTATCATGTTGGAAGGTTTCAAACTCTCTTTCCATCTGTTGATTTCCATGTCTTCTATATTACCCATGGAAACTTGCCAATGTTTACGAGTTAAATAATAGCTAGGTGGGGATCATTTTGACTCAGCTTTCTAACTGCACTACATACTATGCAGAAGTATCTTCTTCTATAAACAGCATGTGCTGGAGCATTTTGACTTCCATCTGTTGATTTCCATGTCTTCTATATTACCCATGGAAACTTGCCAATGTTTACTAGTTAAATAATAGCTAGGTGGGGATCATTTTGACTCAGCCTGCTAACTGCATTACATACTAATAGTTTGATATAGAATGTAAATTCATGCATTATCATTTCTTGACACTGCATGTCTTGGGCATTTTATGACAATGCTTACAATGAAACAGCATGTGCTGGAGCATGGAAAGCCTCACGAGCGAACTGCTATTATCACTAAATTAGCCGGACAGATAGTTCAAATGAGTCAACAGAAGTTTGCTTCAAATGTTGTTGAGAAGTGCTTGACCTTTGGTGGTCCAGTTGAACGTCAGATTCTGGTAAATGAGATGCTTGGGACAACTGATGAAAATGAGCCCCTTCAGGTATGATTTATTCTGCTCAAATTTCATCTTCTGCAGTATTTTTTATAATTAATTCTGCGTCATCCTCTATTCTTAGAGTATGTAATATTGTTCTTTAGATTTATAGGGAACGTATTTGTATGCATGTTCGCTCACAATGGTCTGGATTTAGTAACAATATTATTTCCTGGTAGTAGATGGTTTTTGTGCATAAAGTTAATGGCAACCGGTCTTAAAAGAAAGGGGAAAAAAGTTTCTAATCACCCAACTATTAGATTCCTGCAAGTATAAATGAAATCTGACCTAGCAAACTTCCCTGAACTGTAGTTTATGAAGGATAGTAGTAGTATAATCTGACCTAGCAAATCTTTTACTTCTATATTAAACCCCAAATCGTCACGTTTCTAAATTAGGAACCCCAAATCTATTAATTTGTTTTAAATAATATCCCCACCCTATTAAGTATTTTTTAAATAAGTCCCTCGAATCTATTACGTTGTTTTAAGTAAAACCCTCAAATCTAAGTTGTTTTAAATAAGACTTGAACAAAATATGAATATTGGAGGGTCTAATTCAGAAATATGAATATTTGACTGTCTAATATAGAACTAACCAAGGCTAGGAATCTAATAAGTCAAGAACCCTGTAATCAAGTGAAGGCTTTAGGATGAAACTCGTGCTAGTACCTCCTGATCAAAATGTTTTCCCTCTATGTTTATGCAGGCTATGATGAAAGATCAGTTTGCTAATTATGTTGTACAGAAAGTTTTGGAAACCTGCGACGATCAGCAAAGGGAATTGATCCTCTCGCGAGTAAAGGTTCATCTCAACGCACTGAAGAAATACACTTATGGGAAGCATATAGTTGCACGGGTAGAGAAACTTGTTGCTGCCGGAGGTATGATTCTCTTTTTCACTACTGATTGATTTTTTGTTCCTTCATAGTGATTGAGGTATGTTGCATAGTTGACCTCACTCGTCTTATACCTTTAGTAGCATTTATCACTTGTTTATCACTCAACTTGTTTATTAGAATTTACACTGCTGGGGTTGGTATTTGAAAATGTTAAATTGCAGATAACCCCCCATTTCCCCTGAGTTGAGGGGTGATAAGCGCTAATAAACGACTTGAAAGGTGATACGTTTTAGGTATATAAATTCCTACAAGCGAGTGATTAAACAAGAAATACAGCAAAAGCAATCACAAAAGACAGATTTTTTTTGCGGCTCGGCAATTTGCCCACGATCCACGGCCGCACTAGTATTTCTTTCATTCTGATAAAGTTACAATTACAAGAGAGAGTGCCCATACACACACACACACACACCTCGATTTATATGTTACGTAGAAGGGTTAATCTATAATTCTACATGTACCCTGTAGCCCTAGTCTATATGTGTGTGCGCGCGCGACCCTTCTACGTAACATATAAATCAGGGGTGGTGGTGAGGTGGGGGGTTTGGAGTGCGGGGTCAACTTGCACGGTCCAATCAGACACCACAAGCTCCAACAACATGGGCTGTAAATGAGTGGTTTCATCTGCAATTTGTCCTATTTATATGAAGCAGATTGCATGTTTTCACCAGCCTAACGACTCCAAGTAATAAAATTCCCTTGTGTTTAGACAGGTTTTCTTCTTGATCTGCTTGTTATTCTCGCTCTTTTAAGCAACAATCTACATTAGGTTTCCATTGCCTGCATAAGGCACTATCGGTTGAGCTAGGTTGATTTTCAATCTGAATACTGTTTTCCCTTCATATCTATTAGGATAATAACCAATAACGATCCTCTTCTATTCCTTCATTGTCATTTTCACCGATTTTCCCCTCAACTCGTTTTTAGCACTTGCTATCCTTAGAATTGATATTTTGAGAGTTATGAATTGCAGTCCCCACGAGTTGAGGGATGTTTAGTGCTAATAAACAAGTTGAAGGATGGTATGTGCCAGTGAAGGTATAAATGAGGAGGGTTATGAGCAATTTACCCTATTTAGTACCTCATATATTGCATTTTTAACCAGCCTAATGACATCAATAAGAAATTACCTTGTTATTTGAAACTACTTTCTTGATATACCTGTTATTCTAGCTGTTAAGTAAAAATCTACTTAAGGCTTCCATTACCTGCATAGAGGCAGTATTTGCTGATCTAGATTGATTTTCAATCCGAATGTGCCTTTCTCCTCCGCTTTATTAGGGTTAATTGCTTTAACCACCATCATTTATACCTTCAGTGCCATTTTTCACCGCTTCGCCCCTCAACTCGTTCATTAGCACTTATCACCCCTAGGGTTGCTACTTTGAGAATGATAGGTTGCAGATAAACCCCATGTCCTTGTGAGTTGAGGGATGATAAGTGCTAATAAACAAGATGAAGAGTGATAAGTGCTATCAAAGGTATAAATGAGGGTTAATTATCTGCAATACTTATTGAGAAGTAGATTACATTTTTCATCATCTTGATGACGTCAACTTACCCTGACATTTGAA